TCCTCAGTCCTTCCCTGTCCATTCAGTTGGTGATGAACGCTTCCAATACGGGCTGGGGAGCCCACCTCGGGAAGCTACAGACACAAGGTATGTGGGGCCCCACAGACCCTTCCCTTCATATCTATGTCAGGGAGTTGAGAATTATTTGCCTCGCATGCAGTATTTTCTTGCTGCAGCTTCGAAACAAGTGCGTTTTGATTTTGATGGACAACATGGCAGCAATGTTTTATATAAACAGACAGTGGTGCTCAGTCCTGTCCCATGTGTAGGGAGGCTCTCCTCCTCTGGGAGTTCTGCATGGCTCATGGTATTCACCCAGTGGCCGCTTACCTTCTTAGGACCCAGAACGGGTTGGCAGATCACCTCAGCAGGTCCTTCGAGAGGCACGAGTGGTCCCTCAGGATGGACATAGCCCTGTCTGTTTTCTGCAGGTAGGGGTTTCCCCACCTGGACCTGTTTGCAACCCGCAGCAACAGGAAGTGTCCCCGTTTTTGCTCCTTATTCAACCACAGCCTGGGGTTTCTGGGAGATGCTTTCATGATCCCTTGGCCTCGGGGCCTCCTGTACGCCCTCTCCCCCACCCCCTTCCTGCTAATCCATAGGGTAATTCTGAGAGTCAGGGAATTTCAGGCCTCTGTAATCCTGATAGCTCCAGCATGGCTTCATCAGCATTGGTTCCCAGCCCTTCTCTTGCTCTCAGTAGAGTGACCTTTAGCTCTCCCCCTGTGTCTTCACCTAATCTCTCAGGAGTTCGGCATTCACACAATGTTAATTGTTGTTCAGAGAGTTGCCAGAGCTGGCCTGGATAAATTCACTATTTTCTTCAGCTCGGGGCAAAATCACCTGACACAGTTATGGATCATGCCGCAGAAGCAGATCCAAGTAGCTGTGGTTTTTACCAAGTTCTACCTTGGGTTGGTGAGACAGTGCAAGGACATGGTTGTCAATAGGGCAGACCTTGCAATAATGAAGCCTATTTTAGGCTCACTGGGTTCTCATACTCTCATTCAGCTCTGTACTGTTATTTCTGCCATTGGGTTAGAACATGTGATGACACAGTGCCAAAGCATGGGGAGGCCTATGGTGCCCTCAGTGATGTTACTGGCATCACTTCCTGCATCAATTTTGTGTTGGAGGTGTCACGTTACTGGATTTTGAAGGGAGCAGCCAGATCGCTGCTGCACCCATAGGTGGGGGTGTTGGCCCCAGAAAATGATAGAAAAGAGGGGCCATGTGTGGTGTTGAATAGAAGCTCACTGTCTGCTAATCCTATGCACGCTGTTCATGTGTTTGTATAATGTCTGTGTGTGCAATTATAAGCATGTACTTGTATGCATACTGAATATTTCCCTGCATGTGGTTGAGCATTGGGCAGGGCCTGGCCTATGGATATGCTAATTAGCGAGGCCTTGTGGGACAATGGCACTCAATGGGCCAAGGACACGCCTAAAGAATGAGGGCTGACACCTGAGAGCTGCCTGCATGGAACTCAGAGATTGGCCGCTGGCCAGGTGACCTGCTGCAGCCAAGAGGAGACCAGGAAGGAAGGATGTATAAAGAGGCCATGTGGTCGCCGCCATCTTGGTCTTCAGCTCAGCACTTCATCCCAGAGGCAGCAATGCAGGGATCGAAGAGCCAGAAAGACCTGTGGACCCATCCTGATCCTAGGATGCTCAACAAGGACTTTTAAACCAGCAGCTGTAAAATCTCTGCTAGAGCCTGCATCGAGAACTGGGAGATTCGATGCATGTAATGTACCAAACTGGGTGGGGTTGCAACTTCTTTGGAGGATAGGGACATAATTCAAAATGACCTTAGCAAGTTAGAGAAATGGTCAGAGGTAAACAGGATGAAGTTTAATAAAGAGAAATGCAAAGTGCTCCACTTAGGAAGGAACAATCAGTTCCATACATACAAGATGGGAAGCGACTGTCTAGGAAGGAGCAAGGCGGAAAGGGATCTAGGGGTCATAGTGGACCACAAGTTGAATATGAGTCAACAGTGTGATGCTGTTGCAAAAAAAGCAAATATGATTCTAGGTTGTATCAACAGGGGTGTTGTAAGCAAAACTCGTGAAGTCATTCTGCCGCTCTACTCTGCACTAGTTAGGCCTCAGCTGGAGTACTGTGTCCAGTTCTGGGCGCCACATTTCAAGAAAGATGTGGAGAAATTGGAAAGGGTACAGAGAAGAGCGACAAGAATGATTAAAGGTCTAGAGAACATGACCTATGAAGCCAGGCTTCATGAACTGGGCTTGTTTAGTTTGGAAAAAAGAAGATTAAGGGGGGGGACATGATAGCCGTTTTCAAATATCTAAAAGAGTGTCACAAGGAGGAAGGAGAAAATTTGTTCCTCTTGGTTTCTGAGGACAGGACAAGGAGTAATGGGCTTAAAGTGCAGCAGGGGAGGTTTAGATTGGACATTAGGAAAAAATTCCTAACTGTCAGGGTGGTCAAATATTGGAATAAATTGCCAAGGGAGGTGGTGGAATCTCCCTCTCTGGAGATATTTAAGAACAGGTTAGATAGACATCTGTCAGGGATGGGGTAGACGGAGCTTGGTCCTGCCTTGAGGGCGGGGGGCTGGACTCGATGACCTCTCGAGGTCCCTTCCAGTCCTATGATTCTATGATTCTTCAACAACCTTACTCTCATGCTTTTCTTTATTGTTATAATAAACCTTTAGATGTTAGATGCTAAAGGATTGGCCCAGCATGATTTGTGGGTAAGGTCCAAAGGATAAATTGACCAGGGATCTGTGGCTGGTTTCTTGGAACCGGACAGAACTTGTTCAGCGTAGGTGGGATTGGGTGCTAGGACCCCCCCCCCACCTCCACCTGTGTATGAGGCCCGGGGCACGGATATTGCTGGTGTGTTGGAGGGGTTTTGCTCGTGAGGCTTCAGGCAGGCTACTGAAGCGCTCTGTGGGACTAGTTTGTGGTCTGTTTGGAGAGGTCACCAGTCTGGGGGCTGTAAGGAGCCCCGGATTTGAGCAATTCGCCCTGAGCGGATGCCCTCAGCTGCGTCCGCCACACCTGTTCTATTCACATTTCTGTAGTTTCAAGACTTAGCATTTATCTCCACTGCAGAGTGGTTTGATGGTTCAGTAATCAAGCCACTGGCAGTTGATTTAGTGAATCTAGTAAAGACCCACAAAATCAGGGCTACTCAACTTTGGAAGCCCCGGGGGCCACAGTGATACAGCATATGCCGAGAGCTGCAACTTAAGCATGGTTACATAGACTTGCAAATATATATGTAAATATATGCAAATAACTTCTTCCACACTGAGCATGAATACTGAGATTAAGGCAAGACTATACAACATGCAGGTCCCATTTAAGCTGGTATTAATAAAATGCAGTATTTACCCGATTTCCACCCATATGACAGTACTTTTAACGAGCAATGATAATCCAGGAATTTAACTACTAAAACTCATATCAACAGAAGATCATTATATTAACTCGCTGTTGTGGAGTGTGTTCCCACTGGAGGCCGTGTTCAAAGGATCCCACCCACGGGCTGCATGTTGAACCCCGTGTAAACCCAAACCACGCTGCGAGATATAAACAAACAGGTGGTGGGCTACATGCGGCCAGCATGTTGAGTAGCCCTGCACTAAATCAACTGCCAAGCACTCTCCTGTTGACTCCAGTGCTCTAGCACAACAAGATGATTAAGGGAAGTTGACAGTTTTTTCTATCAACCCTGTGCAGTGTGGACCCTGCCATAAGTAGATCTGAGCTACTTTGATTTGAGTTATGCTACTAACATAACTCACATTGCGTAGCTTAGCTCAACCAGTCCTTGTAGTGTAGACCCGTCTTTAGTCCATTCCTAGACATGGATTCTCCATTCCTAGCTCCTCCCTAGTCCTTCAGGAACTCTTCCCTGGCTGGAACAGGAAGGTCTTCTGCTTCCAATTCAAAAGCCTATGCTTTGTTTTCATTGGCTCTCTTGGCCTCCTGTCAACTTTTCCTGCTGCCCCTAAGCATTCCAGACATACTCTGGGACTGTCTGTCTGTGGTTTTAACCTTTACAGGCAAGGCAGTTAGGGTTAGGTCTAAAGAGTTTACAACTAATAAGAGAAGATTTTAGCTAACTAAATAGCTGGAACATCTAGAAAATGGTGTTACACACACACACACCCCTTCACCATAAGTATCAAAACTAAATGTTTTGTTTGACCCAATGTGAAAATGTTCAGTTTGAGAGATTTGTCAAAAGCAAAGCAGAACTAGATTTAAAAAAATGCTTAGGGGGTGATGGAGGAAAATCAAAGGTTAATGTATTCTGGGATGTGGAGAACTTGGATTTAGTCCCCTCTCCTCTTACCCCCTCTCCCTGCTATGGAGAAGAGATTTGAGAGTTACACAGGTTAGTGTGTCATCCTCACTAACTCTTCCTGGCCCAATCATTGTGTGCCAATTTCATGAACAGACATTGGGCCAGAGTGCATGAGAGTGACTGTACAGCCTAGTGCCTAGGCACTTACCTAGGACACAGGAGACCCTAGTTCAAGTCCCTGATCCAAGGGCTATTTATACAAAGTTGAACAATTTCAACAGGAGAGATTGAAACCCAGTCTATACTGCCTCTTAGCCCAATGACTAGGCTTCACTATGGAGGACCCAATTTCAAATTAGTTACTTAATTTATAGTACCCAAAGATATTACCATCTCTGAATCCCATAACTAGCCTTTCATCCCCCAGTTTTTCAGAGTACTCGTTATTTGGGTTTCTGATTTAGCAAGTGAACTGAGAAATGTTTGCAGCTCCTCTGACCTTTATGTCCTTAGATGTAGGGCATAAGGACAAACATACATGGCTGACTGCTGTTCAAAAGATTCCAGTCTAATGCATGGGGAACATTCACATCTAGAATGGGATCCACAAAGACTTCTCAAAGAACCATAGTTACTATAAGGTAGATAACTTTTTTAAAAGTAAGACTTCTGTGACGACAGTGTGCTTTTTTTGCTGTCGTTTTCATGCAGTTGGAATCACTGTGGAGTACCAGGCTGTTTCTTACAAGAGCTGTCAAACCCAGCATCCCAATATGTGAGAACTTTCAGGAAGAAGAAGGAGGAGTTGGCACAGAAGCTCTACACCCTTTATAACTGTACCATCTTTGAGCAAAAGGTATCTTTTGTAAATACATTTCTGGACCATGAAAACACTGTTGTTCTGCTAACGCTTTCTCTTTGAAATCATTGCTTTTTGCTTCTGGCTACTAATGGGGATGAAGCTCAATCTTTTAATAAGGTGCTTTTATTCTAATCAGGTCCAATATATGAGGATTTTAAAAAGGGTTTTAACATAGGTTTAGTCTGGGGGTCATCAAACTTGCTTAGTGTGAGCTATCTCCCTTCCCATTCATAGTCATGTAACATCTCAGAGTAACTATGTCTGTTGCTTATATGTAAATTGGATTTTAGAATCTTTGGGTGGACCTGGTCCCTTATGGAGCCTTCATTCTTATTCCTAGGTATTTGTATAGCCCCCATTGCATTGGAATGCTTCTTGCTCTTATGTAGCAATGGACCCTAACTGAGACATCTTAAGCAGACTCCTACTTCTGTTGTTTGTTGGAAGCAAAGAGTCCAGTACTACGGCTCCATCTAGACTATAGGCTTCTTTGGAAAGGAGGTTTTTTTGGAAGAGATCTTCCAAAAAAACTTCTTGTGAAAGAGCGTGCACACTGCAAAAGTGCATTGAAAAAGTGATCTGTTTTTTTGAAAGAGCAGCCAGACTGAGTGAGAGAGAGCGTCCATTCAGTCTGTGCAAAAGAGTAGCCACCTAGCCAAGAAATTGCCTTTTAGGAGGTACAGAAGAAACAGCACAAGATGTTACAAATTCCCTACCTCTCCACGGCTACAAAAATTGCCCTTTCTATAGACAAAGCTGTTATGGAATCAATAGAAACCATCTGGCAAACTCCTGTTTTAGCACCGCCACCCACAAACGTGCTGATGGAAAATATTTTGTGACCACCAAAAGCATGGACTTTTTTATTTTCACTTTCTCAACCAGATTTGCTCGTTGTATAGATGCCGTGCATTGCTGCACAAAACAACCACAATTTTGCTCACACTGCATGGCAATGAGCACAAACATCTAGATCTTTTTGGCTGGAAAATATATTCATCCTCGACCCTTCAATTTCAAATTGCCCGTTATTCTGTGCTTCTTGCTAACTACAACTACTCCAACTATTGCACGCTACAGAAACGCATGGACGACTTGACAGAATAAAAACACCCTTTACTGCAATTCATTCTTAAAGAGGATTGCACAGTAGCCCAAACAGCTCTCCAGGAGGCTATGAACATCAAAGATACAGCTGCTCGAACTACAACCACGACTATTGTCATGTAGAGGGCATCCTGGCTACAGGTCTCAGGAATCCCAAAGAGCTGTAGCTCAAAGTAGAGGACCCTCCTTTCTGATAGGATGCACGTCTTCACCTCCATGAAGGACTCTCTGGAAATATTAAACAATCTAGGTATTTACACTCTACCTAACAAACAATAGTGCTATATCCCATACCAGAAGCTTCAAGACATCTTTCCACCACCAAAGATAGCAACAGTTTGACCAACCCAGAATGAAACAGTGATCTCAGAGGAGGCAGGATTCCTCAATCAGTCTGTACCTATCCAGCCAACTACCTCAAAACCAAAGTTGTGAAGGTTTGGTGAGAGTCTCTGAATGCTCATTACCCAGCACCAGTCCTAATAGAATCCCCAACCCTATATTTGGGCATCATTTGCACATATTTTACTAAGCATGGATGGAGACTTATCTTAGATCTCCAAAAGCTCAACTAATTTTTATGTAACCACAGATTCAAGATGGTCACCTGGGTCAGAATTATACCAGTTCATGTGGGGAGGGGATGGCTGGTTTTCTCCCCTCAACCTCCAAGATGCACATTTCCATATTACAATTCATCCTGCTCACAGACATTTCCTCATATTCATAATAGGATCTAATCACTACCAGTACTGAGTTCTACCCTTTGCTCTATCTACTGCCTCTCAATTCTTCTTAAAAGATGTGCATAGTAGAAACACCAAATAACACCAGGGGGGTGGTAATTTTCCTCTTTCACTAGCTAGGTCTCCAAATCAGCAAACAGAAATCTAACTTGGAACTAGGGGGCTACATCTACACTGGCATGATTTTCCGAAAATGCTTTTAACGGAAAAGTTTTCCGTTAAAAGCATTTTCAGAAAAGCACATCTAGATTGGCAAGATGCTTTTCCGCAAAAGCACTTTTTGCGGAAAAGTGTCCGTGGCCAATCTAGACGCGGTTTTCCGCAAAAAAGCCCCTATCGCCGTTTTCGCGATCAGGGCTTTTTTGCGGAAAACATTACTGTGCTGTTTACACTGGCCCTCTTGCGCAAATGATTTGCGCAAGAGGGCTTTTGCCCGAACGGGAGCAGCACAGTATTTCTGCAAGAACACTGACGATCTTACATGAGATCGTCAGTGTTCTTGCAGAAATTCAAAC